GTATTTACTATGGTAATGGTTATCTTGTGAATGGTTTATGCGTCTTGAATGATCAGCCTTCAAACTCGACATCATCCATCTATAACGTGAGTGCCAAACGATTTAAGCCGAACTAATTAAACCTTACCTTACTCTGGCATTGTCGTTTAGACCATATAAACGATAAGCTCATTCAGAAGCTTCATCATGAAGGTCTTCTGAACTCATTTGACTTTGAGTCTCTTGAGTCTTGCGAGTCTTATTTGATGGACAAGATGACAAAGCATCCTTTCAAGGGAAAATGACAGAGAGCGACAGAGTTATTGGTTCTCATACATAATAATGTATGCGGATCAATGAGTTGTCCTGCTAGAGGAGGTTATCTGTATTTCGCTACGTTCACTGATGATATCAGTCGATACGGTTATGTCTATTTGATGAGACGTAAGTCTGAAACACTTGAAATGTTCAAGGCTTTTAGAAACGAAGTACAGAACTAGCTTGGCAAGACGATAAAGACACTTCGATCTGATCGTGGTGGCGAGTATTTGAACCAAAAGTTCTCTGACTATCTGGTTGATTGTGGTATTGTATCACAATTAACTCCTCTTGGAACGCCACATTGGAATGGCGTGTCTAAACGAAGGAACCGAACACTATTAGACATGGTTCAGTCGATGATGAGTCAGACAGATCTTCCGAAGTCCTTTTGGGGCTGTGCTTTAGAGATCATTGCGTACCTACTGAACAGGAGTCCAACGAAGTCGGCTAAAGCAATACCATATGAGATATGGACGGAAAAGCGTCTCACGTTGTCGTTTGTTAGAATTTGGGGTTGCAACGCTTACGTGAAGCGTCTGATGACTGATATATTATCCTCCAAATCTGATAAGTGTTTATTTGTAGGCTACCCTAAGGAAACTAAGGGTTACTACATTCCGGTAGAGAACAAGGTGTTTACTACCAAGAATATGCGACTTTTATGGAACGAGAGTTCGTCTCCAAAAGAGTCACTAGGAGTAGGATCGAACTTGAGGAAGTTCGAGAGCAATAAGTAGATGTTGAACCGAGTGAACAAGTTGAAGACGTTCAACCTGTATCACTGCCGGTTGAGACTCAGCCTTCGACTAGTGAACCTCGGAGATCAGGCAGGATTCGCCAAGAGCCTGTGAGATATGGCTTTCTCATGGCTGAGAATGAAGAACTCATGTTATTAGAACATGATGAGCCTTCCACATACCCAGAGACTATGGTAAGTCCCGACTCCGACAAATGGCACGGAGCTATGAAGTCCGAAATGCAATCCATGTCAGACAACCAAATATGGACTCTTGTTGATGCATTTGAAGGGATAAAACCCATCGGATGCAAGTGGATCTTCAAGAAGACAAATATGGATGGCAACGTGCACGATTTATGGCGAAAGGATTCCGTCAGATTCATGGTATTGACTATGATGATATCTTTTCGCCTTTAGTCATGCTGAAGTCCATCAGGATCGTACTTGCCATAGCCGCATATTACGACTATGAGATATGGAAAATGGATGTCAAGACCGCGTTCCTTAACAGGAACTTGACCGAGGATGTGTACATGACACAACCCGAAGGTTTTGTCGATCCAAGAAACCCAAGGATGGTGTGCAAGCTTCAGAGGTCCATCTATGGACTGAAGCATGCTTCAAGAAGGTGGAACCTTTGCTTTGATGTGATAATCAAAAGGTTTGGTTTCTCACAGAACGAGGACGAGTCATGCGTTTACAAGAAGGTCAGTGGGAGCACAGTAGAATTTCTAGTGTTATACGTGGATGACATTCTGCTGATAGAGAATGACGTTCCTACCTTGCAAGACGTAAAGTATTGGTTAGGAACGCAGTTTTCTATGAAGGACCTAGGAGAAGCGGCCTATATTTTAGGCATCAAAATCTATAGAGATAGATCGAGGCGGCTTTTGGGATTGAGTCAGAGTACTTACATCGATAAGATCTTGAAACGGTTCAAGATGCAAGATTCCAAGAAAGCAACCTTATCGATGAGCAGTGGTACGGATCTCTGCAAGAGTCAGTGTCCTTCGACACCTGATTAGCGAGAACGCATGGATCAGATTCCATATGCTTCGGCAATTGGATCCATCATATATGTCATGCTTTGTACTCGACCGGATGTATCCGATGCATTGAGCATTAGGAGTAGATACCAGTCAGATCCAGGTGAGTCACACTGGATTGCCGTCAAGAACATCCTAAAAGTACTTGAGAAGGACTAAGGATGTGTTCTTGGTATACGGCGGGTCAGAAGACGAGCTCGCTGTAAGAGGTTACACCGATGCTAGTTTCCAGTCAGACCCGGATGACTACATATCACAGTCTGACTATATTTTCTGCTTGAACGGAGGTGCTATAAGCTGGAAGAGTTCTAAGCAAGCGACCGTTGCAGATTCTACTACAGAAGATGAGTATATTACATCGTCGGACGCAGCAAAAGAAGCTGTTTGGATCAGAAAGTTCGTTGGCGACTTGGTGTCATTCCTAGTGCTGATAGCCCCATTGTTCTGTATTGTAACAACAATGGTGCAATCGCACAAGCGAAAGAACCCAAGTCCCATCAACGGTCCAAACACATACTCAGACGATTTTACCTCATCACGAAGATCATAGACAGAGGAGATGTGCACGTATGCAGAGTATCAACAGATGACAACATTGTCGATCCGTTGACGAAGCCTCTCCCTTCGTCAAAGTATGAGGGTCATGTTAGGGATATGGGCATTAGATGTTTAGCAGTCCATGAGTAGAGCTCTATGATGTACTGTTGTATGAGGTTTATTATGATACATTCGATGTATTGACACTTTCTATGATTTTATGGATGAGCGTTTTATTCATTACATGTTATGCATACTTTAATATGTTATGAAATCCATGTATTATTAGGGACAATACTAAACTCCCTAGTCATATATTATTGTGGGAACAATGATGTACTAAGACTAATATGATGTGTGATAGATGATCATAAAGATGATCATGGGTATTGGATACGATCACAATCATAGGTATTCGTTGGAGTACGAAATACTGGAATGATCCGCATGAGATTGTCACATGGACTAGCGTCATGACTGGAATCTCATGTGATGGTTTCATGATTAGCTCCTATGACCATAGATATCTACGGAATCCAACATGAGGAGTTGCGTACTTTGAATACATCAAATGTGATAGCCTAGGATACCGTATGAGGGCGGGGAGTGATCGCCGGTGCGAGAGGCATGGACAATGGGCGACTCCTGACGAGCTTCTGGGTAGGGGGTACAGGGATGAATCGGACGCACCGGAATGAGAGGGATCCGATGGCTGTGTAGGTATGGGACTACACAGTCTAAGATAACTTAAAGGAATTAATTGAGCTACTCATAGCAACAAGATGCATCTACCTTTTCGGTTGTCCATCTCGAGAGAGCTCCAAAGTTAAGCGTGCTGGCCTTGGAGTAGTCTTAGGATGGGTGACCTCATGGGAAGTATTTTCCGGGATGTGTGCGAGTGAGAACAAAACACGCTAAAAGGTCCCATGTTGGTGTGAGGGGACAACTCTATCATTCCGTAGTGGCCTCAGGTCGTTACATCAAACGTCATGCATAACAGGAGGACTATAAAGGCGTGTATCAGGTATAACACGAATCATGTGTTGGATTGTAGATAATCAAGATGAGATTTATACCTCTCGTAAAAGAGAGAGATATCGTTGGGCCCCTCGTGTGAGCAAGACTGTAGAAATGTGTGCCACACTATAGACAAACGTCCTCTATTTTGTACAGTCGAACTCAGTTAATGAGAAAGCAATCGAATCAGATAAGGTGGTTTTTCCATGCCTTATGTTCGACATATGATATCGTGATACAAAAGGATCATCAACCGGAATCATCACCAACGTTCGTAAGATCACGAACAAACTCTATTCGAGATATGTAGTCATAGTGTCATACTAGAGACCGCCTATGACTTGTATATCCGAAATAGAGATTTCGGTTATACTGCTATATTGAATGAGCCTACAGGATTAACACGTATAAGAAAGAACAAATGCGCGAGAAAAGACGAAAAATTTCTGGTGGAATAGAGGCCAGATCGACCAGTCCAGAAGTCTGGACCGATCGGTTCAGCTTGGCAAGACCGATCGGTCCAGAGCGTGGACCGGTCAGTCCAGAGGTGGCGAGCAATAGTTGCTCGGTCCAGAAAAGGTTCAAACTGATCGGTCTAGGCCAAAAAACGGCATACCGATCGGTCCAGGCATTGGAAATTACTTATGTCACTCTAATTAGGGTTTTGGGTTAACCAACATTTTGGTAACGCCTTCTAATCGTTTTTGGACGAACTTTTAGACTTTTTCAGAGGTTCTTGAGATCTAAAAACGAAGAGGAAGATCTCGGAAACTCTTGCGCAAAGTAGAACGAGTTCTTCGGTCCTAGCAGACAAGTTCCAATCGTTGGAATCCTTTCCGTCGTGTGGATACGTGTAGAAGGCGAGGTAATCTTCCTGTCTTTGTGATCAGACGAACATATCGATTAATACAGGTCCCGAATCGATTGAGGTAAGCGTTCTAACGTTTCTACGAAATCATGTATGTTTGGTTTTAGGGCTTTATAGAAATTTTTTGTTTTACATCCGCTGTGCAAAACACGAGAACCGATCTCTTATGAATTATATTCGCTATAGAGATCTCAAGAATCCCAACATCCAAACCAAATCTCGAAACACCCAGAATATTTTTGCCTGATCTATCTTTTCTCTTTTCTCTCTCGTTATAAAAAAAAGAAAAAATTAAAATTAATTTCGATGCGTTTCTCATCACTTTACTCTCTCTCCCTCTATGTATATATACATTTGTTTTTAATTTGCCAATGGATATTTGCAAGCCCAAAAAACTTTCATGGGCCCGATAAAGTCACCAATTTTTCTTTGAAGCCCAATTGCACAGCCTCAGCTCTTACCAGTTGCTTGCTATTTGCTACTGGCGTTCTGCGTCGTAGAAGCACAGCTCCCTGAAATTTCCCCATATTCGGATTTCTAGGGTTTTTTTTTTTCATTTACTCGGTATTTGAAGAAAAATGGCGATGGCTGGTCGTCTCAGATCGACGTTCTCTCTCTTCAATAGGGTCTCTGCATCAGAGTCTCTCTCCTCCGTTGGATCTTATCGCCGCGCATCGCCACTCATCCCTCAGGTACATCGATTTTTAAAAAATCTAAGGCGGAAATCGGATTCTACCTCTCTTTGTGGTTTAAGCACAGAATCTGGGTTATCTATCGCTCTGGATTCATACGTGTTATAAGCTGGAATGCATTTCGCTCGTTTCTTCAGATCGGTTGATTTCGATCGTCTGTTTGGTTAGGTAGAACAACAGGAGGGGGACTGATTGTATTTCCCAGCTTTTTTTTTGCAGGAAATGTTTTGGGGATTTCGTGTTTTTTTTTTTTGCCCTTTTAGTCTTTTAGGAATTTAGAACAGCGATTCTTCTGCTACTGTTGTTTTTTCTCAGATGATTCAGGAAGTTCTCTTTTAGTGTTAAATATTCCATTTTCATTCTTTCTCGCAGTTGACGAGTGGTTTTGTCTCTGCTTCCGGTCAACAGGGCGGTGATGTTAAGGTAATCGATGCTTGCACTGGTCATCTCTTGTACATGTTATGGAGGCTATAGCTTTTCTTGTCGAGATTTAAGTTTTCCCAAAGTTGTTCCACATATGTTACTCATTTTCATCTATGACATAGATTCTATGTCCCGAAGTGTGTTTTTTATCCACTGATCTTTGTGTTTGGGATGATTATTGCACTATATATATATATATATATATATGAACAAGAAACTGGATCACGGCTTGGATTGTTGGTTATACTACAAATGAATCTGTGAATAATTGAAATTTTTTGATTACTTGCTTTTCTTTTTTTCTGGCGGGATGGAGATTTCTAGTTCTAGTTCTGGTGTTTTTTACATTGTAGATGGGGTTTGCTTGTTCAGGTTCCTGTGGTTATGACTGGTGAAGCAGGGAAATGGGCTACAAGTTTGTACCTCGCGTCTGTGAAATCTAACGTATTGGACAAGGTTGAGTCAGAGCTTCGTTCGGTTGTTGAGGCAACAAAGTCTAGCCCGACCTTTGGACAGTTTACAAAGGATATCACGGTTCCTAAGGATACTCGTGTGAAAGCTATTTTCGACATCTGTGAGAAAGCTAAATTTTCCGAGATCACTAGGAACTTCCTTGGTAGGATACCGATATGTAACTCTCTTCCGTGGTCTTAAAGTTCCATCAAATCTGTCTTGTTTTATGATCATATTTGGTGATTATATCGCGGTTTAGTAGATGCATTTGTATTTTTTTATTAAAAAAAGGTTTTTGCTCACTGAATAGCTTTGTTGGCCGAGTCTGCACGGCTGAAGAACATGGAGAAGATCGTGGGTAGATTTTTTGAGCTCACAGAGGCACACAGGGGAGATGTCAAAGTTTTGGTTACCACAGTTATGGTAAGTTTATGTTTCTTTTCAAGCATCATTACTAGCATGTGCATTTGCTTTGCTTGTCGATTAGTTTCTGGATCGATTTTCCTCGTCGGAGTGGAGGCTGATTTGTTAAATTTGCTTGGATGACAGCCTCTTCCTCCTGCAGAGGAGAAGGAATTGAAGGAGACACTCCAAGAAGTAATTGGACAAGGAAAGAAGGTCACCATCGAGCAAAAGGTATACACCCTCACATTCTTGAATTGGATTTTTTTTCTTTTTCAATGCAAGGAAGAGAGTCTAAACATGTTTTGTGGGTAATTGTTACAGATTGATCCAAGTATTTATGGTGGGCTCATAGTCGAGTATAACCAAAAGGTGCTCGACATGTCCATTAAGACAAGAGCCATGCAGATGGAGCGGCTCCTCCGTGAACCAGTCAATTTCAGCGACCTCTGATCACATTCACTCTGCATCATCGAGGGGGCGTCTCTTTCAGGTTTTATCCTCTGTTCCTAAACGAGAATTTCGGGGAATTATTTCCTTCTCTCCGCTTGTGATATGATTGCGCCTTTTCCGGGCTTCATGCATCAATTATCGAATAAATGGAATGACCCTCTTTTCGGATTTCTTTTTCGAGACACTTTTGATCGAGTTTTTCGCAGCAACATTCTTATGTGAAGAGCTGGATGAATTATACAGCGTGTTCTGTTCTTTCCCGTCTTTCTTCTTCTTCTTCTTCTTCCTCTTCTAGTTGCTTGCCTTAGCCTCTCCAAATCGTGAATGTTTATGTTTCAGTTTGTTGATACCAACCTCTGTGTGGACTGAAAGTCATAAGATTCCGACTATATAAACAAATAGAAATATGGATCTAATCCATAACCTCTCACAAAAATAAGTAGGTCAAATCATTTTGTTAGCTTTTGAAAATGTTAGAGCAGCCACCTTCGAAATTAGTTTACAAAGACCAAGCACCAATCCATCACCAAAGAATAATAAGTACAATTTATTTATTTATTTTTGTAGCTTCTAAGAACTCGGGTCTCTTTGGTACCAAAGAAGTCACGTAACCCACAACTTTTTTTTTCTTTAATTATAATAAATACGATACAAGTTATAGTTGAATAAGATTTAACTATTACATTTTTCTTCCAGGATATAAAGTCACGTAAAAAATTAAATTTAGAATTAATTAAAAAATGATATATTAAAATGGTTTTTGGAGAATGGCGTGGATGGAAACTGGAATGGAAACATTTTATGGTTATCTGTAATCAATAACCATATCACTTGATTGGAATTTTTTTAGAGAGAGAGGAAAACTCTCTCCCATCTCTCTACCTTTACCAAAAGTGAACCCTAGATCGCCAAATCGCCGGTCAGCCCATTGCTGGCCGGACAAAAAACTTCAGCCTCCCTTCTGTGGCCATCACATTCTTAGGTGATGACGAAGAAGAGACAGCCCAAAGCAACGAAATCTCCAGCCTCAAAATCGTCCGTCTCCCCCGCGAAATCTGGTCAATCTTCTCACTCGCCGGCAGCCGCTGTCGAAACTCATGGTGTCAACTCCTCAGAGGCAACTCAGGATCCGGTCCCCACCTTCAGCTCCGAATCTCACCTCCCTGTTTCACCTAAATCCCCTGTCCGACAACACTTTCCTCCGGAATTATCGGCCGTCGCCTTGCCTGAACTGGAAAATCTACCGCCGGTGCTATCAGATGATGATTTTCCGCCACTACCAGTGAGCTCAGGTAGGTCCCCGAACTCGGGCACCTCAGCCAAGCCGCTCTTGGTTGCCCCGGTTCAGCCACTCTCGACTGCCATTCCAGCCCAATCGAATGCTCCTCCCCCAAGTGCTTCGAAGCCACAATTTCCGTGGGCACAACGCTTACGGTCGAGCTCGAGAAATCTCTCCCGTCTCACCTCCCCGTCTTTCTCTCCTGACGGTACACCAAGGGTAAGAATCCCGAGCTTTGTGATTATGGTAGCTTCTAAAGCCTGGTCGGGATATCTCGTTGGACAATTCTACGGCATCTCGCCATCTGCTTATCGTGTTTATCAAGCCTTGAACCCTATATGGGGAAAAAAATCTAAGATCACTGTAAGGCGGATAGGAGATTCCTCTTGCCTCTTCTACATCCCGGACTTGCCTACTCGAGAATGGGTTCTTGAAGTGGGTATATGGAGAGCTGCAGATGTTATGTTTTCTTTATCGGAGTGGACACCGACGTCAACTTTTCGTAAAATAACCCTTGAATCGGCGCCAATCTGGGTTGCTCTGCGAAACATTCCCCCGGAGATGTACTCACTTCGAGGGATCAGCTATATTGCTTCTGCAATTGGGGAGCCTTTACATACGGAGAAAATGCGGTTGGATCCCTTAACCATTGGGCAGGCTCGAGTGAAAATTGAGGTACAATTGGGTTCAACTCTCCTGAATTCTATCGAAGTGGAAGATGATGCCGGCAGCATTGCTGTAGTGGAGGTTCTTTACGCCTGGCTTCCTCCACGATGTGAAACCTGCAACCATTTTGGTCATAAGGGGTTGAATTGTCCGTTAAAACCCCCGAAAGCTACCCCTCCGAGTAGGCTGGTCAACCCTACTCAAGGCCCAATAACTGATCAGGGGGTTCCCCCGGTAGCTGTGCCTTCCAGCTCTAAAATCTAGGGATGTAAAATGGGCGGGCCGGGCCGGGTTCGGGCCGGGTTTAATTCGGGCTTCAATTTTTTCGGGCCGGGCCGGCCCGCCCATTTATTTTTCGGGTATATGATTGATGGCCCGGAGCCCGGTCCTACAGGGCTTCGGGCGGGTTCGGGCCGGGCTTCGGGTTTTTTATTAAATAATTTTTTATGATAATGATAATAATATAAAACATTCAATAAAATATTCTTAAAACCAATAACAACAAAATGTCATCCAACCAAAGTATTTTTAAAATCAATAACATTAAACGATGATGATCAATTCTCTGGTATCACATCCGGCAAGACGACGACCGTAGATGGCAGTGAAATAGGTAGAGTGCCATCAATACCACTTCCGGAATCTGCACAACATGTCAATTAAAAAAATAAATATAAATCAATCACTTAGACATAAAAATTAAAATAAAAAAAAAGTAAAAAAATATAGATTTTTACCATATTCTTCAAAACCAAATAACCAATAACGAGTGCATAGTAGAGCTTGGACATTCGTAGGTAAAAGACGACTTCGATATTTATTTAAAACACGAGAACCAGCGCTAAAGGACGACTCTGAAGCAACGGTAGTGATAGGAATACTGAGAATGTCAGATGCCATAAAAGCCAACGCAATACCATATTGTGCTTCATTGACCTTCCAAAACTCCAAGATATCCATATCTTTATAACGATGTAGATCTATAGTAGGATCTCTTATATATTTATCCAAACCCGTCTTTAATCCATCGTCCAAAGAAGCTTTGTTTTTCCATCCACTTAACTCCTAAATCATGTAAAAAAATTAAAAATGTTACAATTGAAAAAAAATTTAATAACAAAATAAAAACCAGAAATTTTAAAAGAGAAATAGAACTTACATCAAATTGAGTAGAACTTTGTTTATTCTCCTTTGAACTACTATCTTGTGAAATAGGTGAATTCTTAGCAGTCAATACCCCAAATCTTTTCTTGTATTCTTCAAAGATCGAATACATCTTACTTTTCACTTTATCCACCTTCGATTGGCTACTTTCCTCGTCAAGTTGATCATAAAAGAATTTCAACGCTTCCAACTTCATCCGTGGATCAAGAACGGTTCCTATAGCAAGAATAATACTATACTCTTCCCAATATTTATCGAATTTCACCTTCATTCTTTCAGCCATGCTTCTAAGAAGCTCGTCTTTACCCGCAACATACTCTTTCAAAAGCATTTCAATCTTCCAAACTTTCATGAAATATAAGTTAGAAGTCGGATACTTTGAACCAGACATCATCGTTGTAATATCATCAAACGGCTTCAAGAAGTCACGTATTTTTTCTCCCCTGACCCACTCTTCATTTGTTGGACAAAACTTATAATTTCTATCAATCAACGCAAGGCTACTAAAAGCGTATCGGTGATTGAGAGCACTTACAAGCATCATATGAGTAGAATTCCAACGTGTAGCCACATCCATGCACAAAGAAGCTTTAACATTCCCACCAACTTGTTCCACACATTCATCAAATGCTTTCATCCTTGCCTCTGATGCTCTAACATATTTCACACTTTCTCTAATCTTGTCTAGAGCATCACCAATCACCTTCAAACCTTCTTGCACTATAATATTCAAGACATGTGCACTACATCTAATATGAAAGAATTCACCTTTGCACAATAAACTGTTTTGCAAAGAAAGTTGATGTTTCAAGATGTCTTGCATACTATCGTTGGCCGAAGCGTTATCCAACGTGAGAGAAAAGATCTTTTTCTCTATTCCCCAATCTTTCAAGCAACCAAAAATCTTCTTAGATATTTCCATTCCTGTGTGCGGAGGGGCCAATGTACAAAACGATAGTATCTTGCTCATCAACTTCCAATTCTCATCAACGTAATGTGCAGTCACACAAATATACCCCTCATGTGTGATAGACGTCCAAAGATCAGACGTTAAACATATCCTACTACGAACATTAGCCAATTGAAGCTTCAACTTGACTTTCTCATCCTCATAAAGCTTCATAACATCGCTAGAAGCAGTGTTTCTACATATCATCTTGATCTCTGGATTTGCGTACCATATCAATTCCTTGAACGCCTCATACTCAACAAAAGTAAATGGCAACTCATGACATATGATCAACTTAGCAAGCTTTTCCCTCCAAACTTTCTGATCTATCTTCTTTGTCCTTAACTTCCCCTCATAGTCAATCAACATATTAGTCACATTTCCAAACTTGGGCTTTTGCTTGCACTGCTTAAGATGTCGTAGTAAATGTGATGTCCCGAGAGATGAAGAAGCCGCATAATTATTACCACAATAGTTGCAAGTGGCATTTTCACTATCAACTCGAGTCATATGATTCCAAACAGTAGAAGTTTTTTTCCGTTTTCTATCACTTACTCGAGTTTCGGTTTCTCCAGATTGAGATAATCCTGTATCGATGTCACACTCCAATTCTTGATGTTCATACTCAATTGCGTCAGCATCCATTGCAATTACAAAATTAAACCTGATAAAAAAAATTATCACATATTAATAATATATATATATATATATATATATATCAACGAACAAGATACATAAATTTACAAAAACAAATAACAAACATGATATAAAAAGATATTCTATGATGATATTAATTTTAGAAAATCCAAGAGAAATTGAATAATCTAAAAATAAAAGCTCTTAAAAATACCTAAATTAGATTACATCATAAAACATCGAAACAAAATGACATATATATTTGATTAATGAGTGGTGGACATATGGTTAGGTAAACAAACATACATGACATATATTTGATTTGATATTTGTAAAAATAAAAACTTACGTGGTAGATAGAGAAAAATTTAATATCAATATCACTTATTTATAAAAAACACATGTACTTGTTTATCAAATCTGAATCGATGGAACTCAAATAAAAATTTGAATCAAAATAATAGAAAATCAAATCAATAAATTATTCACAAATCCAAAAGCAAACAAAAAAGTATGAAAAAAAAATCTACCCAGAAACAAACGACCAAGCTAGAGATACAGTGACG